TGGATAACACACATGTTAGTTTATACATACTACAACAGCAGGCATTTCATTTCATTTTCACATGGTGTTTTATTTGCGCATTGGTGATTATGCATCACTTACCCTTGACCGGGGTTCGAACCGCGTGGCTTCAGACTCTCAGGCTTGGCTCTCATCGCTTTGCGCCACCGAGTCTTCACACAGAGACAGGGGGCTCCGCCTGGTGTAGTGATTGCACTGCGCGCTCGTCGCTGTGTAAAAGCAGGCAGTAACGTCATCGTGTAATTTTTTTATATCAGCAAAAGGCTACTGTGGGATTTGAACCAAGATCCTCAAATTCAGAGGCAATCATGATATCCATTATACCACGGGGGGTCTCGGATGTAAATAATTTTCCAGTTATTACATCATCGAAGTTTGAACATTGTTTCAGTTGCATATTTTCTTACAAACCATACAAAAATTATAATTTACTTCCCGCCTGTTGTTTGATTTAAAAAAAAATATTTCACGAGGGCTTCACGTGGCGTAGTGACCTCACTGGGCACTCCATTATGGCATCGCATCATTTATAAATTAGCAAAAAAAAACACGATTTGAACTTGAAACATCAACTTTAGATGCAGCCATGCTCTCCGTTACACTACACAGACTGGGTGTGATTCACGGCTTGTTCTGGTTATTATGTCATTGTTTTCAATATGTTGTGTTTAAAAAAAATATGTAAATAACTTTATTTTTATTAAACAATATTCCTCTAACAGCTTTTGATCTACATGCATGATTGATCTACGACTTGGGGCTACGCGTGCTCCCTTGCTTGGCCACCAAACTTCTGCATGCAAAGAGTGGCCACTGTTGCGTTACAACCCCCGTCTACAGCCACGGTAATGACTGACACCGGTTGAAGTTTTCACCTCTGATTTTTGGATCTTGGCCATAGCTTTCTCCAGGCAGGGCGGGGGAGGTCGAGGGTATAAGTGTTGTCAATAAAAAAAACTCCCTGTTATTCACCATGGAGAGCCCACACAGCTATGGTGGGGCCCAAATTGGAGCAGGGCACAAGCAGCCACACACGGGTATTTGGGCCACGCGTCGTGCAGCCTGTGCCTGCAGTGCCAAGTGAAGGCAGCTGTGGTGCAGGAGACCTCACGACTTGCTGCTGGCTGGGTGGCCCTCCATCAATGGGACAGCCTTTTGACTTTGCTCTGTGGGTAGGCGTGCCTCTTGTGGGTGAGCACAGAGCCACACTGAGTGGTGGGGATGGTGGTGAAGAGCAGGGGAGTGGTGGGGATTGGTGGTGAGGAGCAGGAAAGTGGTGGGGATGGTCGGGAGGAGCTGGGGCGGAAGTTTTCCATGAACCTCCACTCCGAGGGCTCCGAGGACAAATGGCATCCCAGGTCTACGAAATACTTTTGGCGGTTGTGGTGGAGCAGCATTTATATATGAGGTTTACCCAGTTAATTCAACATATAAAGTGTCCATGACGTTACATTTCTTGCTATTGTTCTACAACAAGAGGTATGAGACAACGGAGAGGATTAACAGGTACATTTTAGAGAATATATTCTTATATTGTATTTGGAATATTTTCTTCAATTAGTGTCATAAATGTATTGAGAGCGAAACGCATTAAATACTAATCTGATGATATAACTTGGGAAAAGGGTAACGCACACCAACAACTTTGCTTAATATACATTTTTAATGTATTAAATTTATAACGCTGTATTAAGTATATTGTGAACATACTGGTAAACCTTTATTTTAGATATGTCAGAAACCCCTTGCTGTGCTCTATGCTTTGTTACTCTGTGAAGAGGAGCAAAACAAGTTGTTGATTGAATTAGGTTGCAATAAAAGGACGTCGCACTTTTTAACAAAGTAAACTCTTCAAACAGCGCACAAAACATCCGATGTATATCTGTACCCCATTCAGGGGTCTGAATCAATTCACATGAGTTCCCACAATGTCGTGTTTTCCTTTCCAGAATGTTATCCACATCATGCAGGCTCTTTCTGGAATACGTCTACTACTGAGAATACAAAAAAAAACAACCCAGTGGAATTGGGTTCTTGCAATTACTGAAGGATCCATTAACATGTAGCTGCAATTGTGATGGATGCCTCGCGGTGGCACAGACATGAGAGTATTATCGATCATCTGTGAGTCGTGGGGAAACTCAATCTCGCAAAAAGCACCAAACAAGCCAAGACGCTCCTAAATCACACAAATTGCATCTGCAAGGACAGTCCATTTGTTACCGCGCGTTGTCTGTGCGTGTGTGCGGCGTTCTAATTTGGGAGCGTTTCTCTCTCCAGTCCTGTAATTGCAGACATCCCCCTACAGATATTGACTCTGGCTCCCCAGCGAGATTCATTTTCATTGCTTGAGAGTTCAAGAAGGAAATTGTCGAGAGCAAGTGGTGATGTATGTTTCTGAATAAATGAGCACTGCCAATTGATGGTCTTTTTATAAATAAATCAGTAAACATGATTGCAATAATGTGCGATATGAAAACCCGGTGATCTATGTTTTTTAGTTTACATGCCCTCTGGGGGCAGAAGTTGGCTTGAAGCGGAGGCCTCATCGGAAGCCCAGAGTGAGCGATGATGCAGCAGTGGAGATGCTGCGGCGAGCACAAGGGGACTCACACCGCAGCATTGTCCTGGCAGAGTTTGACGAGAGCTCCTCGCAGCCTGCATCAACGTGTCCATTGGTTTGTCCTAATAGTAGTAATAATAATACGTAATTATTTTCAACAAAGTTAACTCTTCAGAGAACTTAATGATGTAATTATTCTTCTAAGTTATGATCAAATGTTAATCCGCTTCTATGGAATTGCACAATCAATGGCGGATATGTGCCCACTGTGGTTCATGCATTACATTTTGAGTATTTGCAGTGAGATAATCTGTTACGTATCTTATCAATATTAACTGTTTATTAATAGTGTATGGGTTATTTCTGCACGGTGATAAAAAAAATGTATCTATTTTATCGAGAAAAATGGAACGAGAGCTAAAAAGCGCACCCAAATCGTCGAGAATCACACGGCGAGACAGAAATAGGAGCGTGGATGAGCGATCACGTGCAAGGTAGACGCATCGTAGTGATTGACAAAGAGAGTAGGTGGACCAGGGCGGCACACATCACTCAAAGGGACGATGGCCAGGGGAAGAGCAGCGACATCCAAGGAGAGAATGCGCCTGAGAGGACGGTCACTGGGAAGATGGAGCGATGGAATCAGTTGAGGTGCAGGTGTTCAATGCGGATTGTGACGTCGCAGGCCCATGGGAGATGTGCTTCACGACTTTTGGGATATCTTCATCCAGCAGTGATGATGATGATGATGATATGGTACAAAGCTCCTTCTCGCTTGTGGTATTTTCTTCGCATTTGATGTTCACGGATGTAACCAGGCCGTTGAAGTCAAAAGGCAGAACCGTGTTGTATGTGGGACAACTAAAGTGAAATACTCCCAGCAGAATCTCACATTAAGGTAATGCCTCATTTTAATTTACACACGATAAAGATCTGATAGTATACATTGCTTTACAGTTTCCTTTGAACATATTTACAGGCAGGCATTTATGATATTCAACGAAAAGTAAAAAAAATTGGTTTAAGTTATGCTGCAAAAAAAAGTATACAAAAGCATAAAGCACCTTTGTGCATATTCCATACATGGAGCGAGAGTTGTGTTCCAGCCAGCGATGGACAGACACCCGTGACGGATAGACTTGCGCTGCGGATTCACCTCTGCGGTTGGTTACATATATTTAGCGTGTACAAACATTGCTACGAGTTAAAAGTTCCATCATGATACGTTCGATTTTTCTTGCTAAAGAATGACAAGTATGGCTTTTTTCATCGTTTGAACAATGATACGTGTTAATTATTCATAAGTGCTGAACGTGTACATTTAAACATAGCATATTGTTGCATATTGCTTCAAAACGATAGGTTGATTAAGACAAAGCTGTCCATCAAATAACTGAGACCCATATATTATTTGGCCATATATTCAGTAAATATTAAATATGTTCACACGCACAACAGTTATTCTGCTTAATATTTTCACTGTCTATTTAAAACAGCCTTCATACATTCAGCAGTGAATGCTACACAGATTATTGCGTACAATGCCACCTTTGCAATTACTGTAGAACCCTTTATACAATTATGTTAGGGATATAGAAGTGTTAACGCGTCACTGCATTTATTTGTAATTGTAACGCTGTCTATTGTTGTCCTTTAAGAGATGTGAGATTTTCTAAATAGCCCAGCTGTGTATGTCTCAACGTATCATTAGTGGGAGTCAACATGAGTCAAATATGCTGTACAAGGTATCGGATATGGGAAAAAAGATCTCAAAACCAATAAATAATATTGCCAAGTTAAAATAAAAAAAAACCTAATCACAATAAACAAGCTGTTGCTTTATACAGTATAAACTATAAAGATGTTAGTTTAACACGTAGGCTTTCGCGACCAATGTTATTCATAATCAACGATTTTTGGGTTTAGATCGCGTTTATTTATAAATGTGTCGTAACCCTCCACCACCCGACACGGCCAATCAGTAAAAAATGTGTCACGTTGACAAAAAACACATTCCAAATGATTACTAATCTACAACTCGCATCGTAACAATAGCCTGATTACTAATCTAGTATATAATTACAATCACTCCCCCCTTGAATCTTTGCACCTGATGAGTTAATGAGTTAATGATGACGTCATCCTGCTGCTGCTCTATATAAGAACGGGAGACACAGGAGAGCCTCACCATTCTGGCGAATTGCCCGATGATGCTGGTTGTAATTACCAGCGAAACGTCGTACTCAAATTGTGAATGTTGTTGCTTCAACACACCGGTGGGCTAAAGCAGTGAACTATTTGTCTTTGTCAACGTGACACATTTTTTACTGATTGGCCGTGTCGGGTGGTGGAGGGTTACGACACATTTATAAATAAACGCGATCTAAACCCAAAAATCGTTGATTATGAATATAAAGATGTTGTAGAGTTTTAATATATAAATAATGTTTGAAACTTTCTTGCCACATTAGCTTTGAAAAAAATGAATACTTTACACAATTTACAATTAGCATTTCCTCTAATAAATTGTATAAAGTTATCATGTACATGTTTGGCAAATGTACATTTAGTGGATAAGTATATACGTTGAAGTTGAACATTAAGACCGCACCACGTTCCAAATTGCATTTCCGTTGTAAACACAAATCGAGCCGGGGGTTCCCTGCGTGGCTTTGCACAACCTCGAGTAGATGAGCTCCTCCACGACGCCCATGGACCTCAGGGCCCGACCCCAGCCAGAACCACCGTGCCGTCTCCACGGTTAAACTCTGCGTCTTGGCACAATGCATTGCAGGACATTACACAAATACTCTAGGTACCGTTTGGGTTGCCACCTGTCCGGGAATTGGGCATCTGTGTTCGGATGGTAGGAACTGATTTGTAACCGAAATCTGGGACTGGGTTTGTGTTGAATTTTATTCCATAATATTGCAATGTTTGATGTACCTCGTGCTGAGAAATGTCCAGGTTTGGTGAAATAGTGACAATCTTTGGTACAGTTCCTCGTCGCATATCTGACCAATTAACCACCCACACCCAATACAATATTTGCATTTGGTGTAACAGTCCTTTCCTATCGATGTTCACAAATCCAAACGTGTCGTGTAGGGTCGTGCATTCCTCAGCCAGGTCGGCTCAGTGAGTGGCTCGCAAACACGAGGGACAGGGAGCAGGTCGCTGGAATCTTGACTCAGCCTATCACCCCTCCAGGGTAATTAATACGAGTACCACTTTGTGTGAAAGCCAACAGCAGTTGTCCTATGGAGAAACTCACCCCCATCATAGGAATGTGGAATTTCCATAATTTGGGTTTAAGGCTCTCAAAAGGAGATGACAACGCCTCAATGCTGATTTGAGCAATGAATCACTTGACATGTATCGTTAATCTCGTGCACACCCGCTTATAAAGCCACAGTTAAGCGTGCTTAAAGCAGTCTTGAGTGGCATATTTGTTCAATATCCTGTAATTTTACGTAGATGTTCTGATCGAGGTCTGTCACCTTTTCCACAGACCAAACCCGGGTATATTTGTCGGTCAGCACTGTGCATTCGACTGTAAATAAAGTTCAACACAACACCACCAGATATCAGTGCAAATTAATTCCTGCCACAAACACACAGACGCCAATTCCCAGACTGTCTGCGCAGGTGGCAACCATTATTTCAGTTCCAAGCAAGTCGGAAATGTGACATTGTACTTCACTCATGATGCATTCCTCGCAATTGCAGCTACTCCAGCAGTCATACAAAGGATAGAGACAAGTGATGAGTTTTCTTTTTCTCTGAGATGGAAAAAATATAAGTAACAATTCAACGAGCTCACCTTCAGAATATCGGGTGTACAGCGTGATCCATACCCATGGAGAGCACCAGCAAACAAATTGTTGGCGCTCTCCTCCCATCTTAAAACAAAAATCTCACCTTGATTTTCAGAGCAGTTGGCAGGGGAGGCACAACTTTAGCTTGCGTTACAATAGGAACGCGTTTCAGTGACACTGACGCACACACGGTTTCTAAGTACACACACACACAGGCTCACAAATACGTACGCATACCCACGACGGTGGAGCGGCGGCGCAGCGACTCGCGTGCTGCAACGGTGAAGCCGGCAGCCTGCGTTGGATTCTCTACCATGGCTAACATCGGTAGTGGCGATCTGAACCCGACCTAAGTCACCTCTCCACTCTTGGCCAACTCGCATCGACCGGCGTTGTGAAGTCTGGTTCAAACAACTCCCGTCACCAATATTGGCATGACGAGGCCTTCATCCAGCAGTGGTCTGACACGTTTGAATATTCATATATTATTATTATGATCGCTTCTGACTCAACATGCGATTCTCAATGTACACGCTCGCCGCCTTGAATGTCAATCTCCCCTTGGTTGCTCCTTATGAGAAGCTAGCCTCATAAACCCGATTGTTAGCAGAATTTATTTTTGTAAATGTTTATTTTAGGCAAACTTTTAAAAGGCAGGCCCACTGTGTCTTCAGTAAGTGAGTAAAATTGATTAAAATGCTCATAGTTTGCACATGAAAAAGAGATGACAAATTATATAAGATGTCTCGCATGCTTGTCATTGTAGTCATCTCTCGTTTTCATGAAATCAACTGGGAAAGCTCAGGAACTATTTCACTTTGTTTCAAGTGCCATGGTGTGTGGTGACCCTAAGCACATGCATTCTAAAAGTATTCACCCAGACATGTGTGAGCACATCAGGAAATGGATAATGAAATCATCACTTTTGCAACAGATCATTGGCAAGCGCTCTCCTTCCTTAACACTCATCGGCCACGGCAAAATACTGTCTCACAATTCAGCTCTTTGCCAAACACAAGTTATGGTGTATGGGCCAAACGTGCTCAAGCAAGATTTCAGTTGGAAATTCTTTCACTATGTAATCAGACTTGTGATTGGGAAAACACATCTAAGGAGGCATTTGAAGCACCGTGAACTTATATTGGAAGAACTCAAGTGGAAACGTGACGAAATTAAATCATTATTTATAACTTTGCTAAAAAAGAAACGAGGGGTATTTCCGCAGGCTTGACAGCGCATAAATAACGACAACTCAGGGACACTTTCATATATTAAGCGGGAGGCAAAATACGTCGGTCTGTTCTGAGGATGGGAAAGCTTGGCACGGAGTCGTTTGAATGATTTATACACTGTACGCTCGGTCTGCAGAATTTATCCTTGACATTTCCTCAACTCGCATGCGTATTTGCACCATTCGTCAGAATGTCAGCCCTCGGGAAATGCCTTCCTTGACGGGCTCTCGTAAGTGCGAAAGGGCATCTAAGCGTCCTAGATGACAAGGCTATTGTGGCGAATCCTTATCATTGTCCTTTGATTTTTGTTTCGTGTGATTTTCTCTCTTCTGGTCAAGCTACAGTGTTGTTGGCTTCAGTAGTTTTGTCATCTGGCATTGGAGCTGCAGACTCAGCCTGGTTCCCTCCATTCTCCTCCTTATGTAACGGTTTCCTACAAAAAGATACAAACAAAACATTTGGAGCAAAAATTTGTGAGCGCGATAACAAAATGCACGAAATGTGTCCTGTGGCCCGTTCTGCTCTGGCAGAACACCCAGCATTCCACTCCCTAACTCGACGTCTTTCTCCTGATTAAATAAAGACAACCACAGCTCAGAAGCAAGATAATTTACAATGTAACACAGTGTCACTTTGGCAGTGGTTGAACGCTGATAGTGGTGTTTGATTATCGGCCATGGCTAACATCAATCGCAATGATACGTGCTTTGCCATTAAGTGAGCTTTAATGGATAGCATATCATCATCATCCGTTATTTGCATTGTTATTCGCCTATTCATAATAATTACAATTATTTACATGGGAGTTGTTTGATCATAATTTATCACACTATTTCTGCATATAAATGATGCACTCCCAGAAGGCCTTGCGGTTGACAGGAAGTGGCAGGACAGATATATGAAAGAGATATATTCTCCACAAAGATGCAAATGGTTATCTTTACCACACTGGTGAGTGCAAATTATTGGATGAAGGGGGAGGGCCGAGGACCATCTCATACAATCACTCGCCACTGACCTTGGATAGGAGTCAGACTCGACGGACTTGGCCATTGCACAGTTGCACTACCACTGCAACTAACAGTACACCCTGCCTGGTCAACAACCAGTAATTATAATGGTCTTTACTTTTACACAAGGAAATCAATACATAATTGAGTACTCATGACATTAGTATAAGAATTATATTGTATGGTATATAATTATACAGGCTATGATACTAACATTGTTGTTGTTATTCTTACGGAGTTTTTAATCTGGGTAGTTAACCAGAGAATGAAAGTAGCTGGCACTGTGATCACATTTGATACAAAGATTTATTTATCAGATGATGAGAGTGGAATGAAGGGCAATGAGCGGTGAAGCACACAGACTAACTGGGACATTACCAAACAATTAGGGCTTGAAGCAATTTCAGGGAAAGCTGCCAGGGTTCTGTAGATGGTATCGGCACAAATGGAATGGGTCAAGGCGAGGCTTACAATTCACATAATGGGTTACATGATTTTCTGAATTAAGCCAGACATGTGGGCTCAGGGGACATGGAGTTCACTCCAAGAGTGAACTGCGGTGGGCGGTTTTCCTCGGGGGGTTACGGTGGATGCACATTTTTTGCACCACCCTCCCCGACTGCTCAAATCCACTTGGCTTCGGTGTCTCCCAGGAAAATCCTTTCACCTCCACAAGTCCTAAAGATGCCGCTGTAGACTTTGAAAGTGCTGGGTCGTCAACCGAGGGACATTTATGATCTCCCACGCCTAAGCGGGCCACAATAAACATACGCCCAGCTGACTTAATGATCTCATTCCTCATGCAGTCGCAAAAACTGACATTTCCTCCACTTCCAGGGCCCCCCGTACATCACAGGCACCGTCGACAAGGCAATTACGGCACCCTCACAGTGCCTGGGCACTCCTGTCACGGTATTTGACAGGAGCCGTCATCGCGGGAAGATCTAGGGAAACAGGAAAACCCTGGCTTGACAGTAGCAGGCGCCGTGCTTGCCACGAGACGAATATCGCTACGCACCGCACCACGCGGCATGATTTGTCGGCATTTAAGTGCTTCTCGTGCCAATTAGCCGACTCAAGCAGTGACGGTGCACCCCGGCCCTGCTGGGTGTCCGGCGTTGCTTCAGTCTGTCGGTGCTTTGTGAAGGAAAACTCTTTTGTGAGTGATAAGCCAGAAATGTATTTAAAATAAACACACAAAGTGCCATATCCATATTCATTTGAGGTTTCATTTTGAAGTTGAAGTAAATATCGAGTGACAGCCAAACAAACGCCTTCTCACGGCAGAGCTGGGCACGGCACCCGGGGAGCCGGTGATTGACACTTCCGAGACTGAAGTTGGATGCCACAGCCGGCAAATCTCGCCGACTGCCGCGATGCCAATTTGCCATTACGCCATCGTCCCATCAGTGGTAAAATATACAAAGGAAGTCATAAAGTGTGTGTGTGTTTGTGTGTGTGCCAGTCATCTCAGTCAGTCAAGCCATGGCACCTGGGTCTGTCCCCTGACCTCTTGTCAACGGGTGTTCGACACTTCACTTGGCCTTAAAGTGCACATAACTTGGCACAAGCGCCGTGGTGACATCACCGTCACTTAGTGACGAATGGAGGTTGTTGTTGTGTTTGTATTTGTTTGTGTGTGTGTGGAGCAGTAGTGCTAGCCACCCACCCCCTCGTGTACCATTCCGGCCTTTTTAGGTGCTCGCGAACAGCACTTACCCCAACAGTCTGTTAAGGATATACAGGGGATCTTGTTGAGTGGTAGTGTCGCAGTTAGCGCGCTGCGCTACGAACCCAGCGACTCAGCCTCAAATGAGTACCTGGTGCAGTGTGTAAACATCACCACTGGGAAGACAAAGGCGGTCCGGCGTGGTGCTGGCCACCCTCCCCCTCATGTACTGTGCCAGCCTTTATAGATGCTCGCTAATGGCACTTGCCCCAACAGTCCATTAAGGCTATATGGAGATGTTTGTCTTGTGCTTGGCTGTACATGAGATACGCTGGTGTGCAAGACCACATTTGTTACAAAAACAATAAAGTTTAATATATGTCTGAGATGGATGATATTTTGAAGATATTAAAAAATAAAACTAATTTAATAGTGAGGTATAAATTTCGACCAGAACTACGGAATGCTCTTGTTATTTAATGAATGAACGTGGTGATTAATAATGTCAGTTATTGGGAATGGACGCCAATTCCACTCTGCCCTGAGGTGTGACAAAGGGAGGTTCAATGCCCACAGGTGCACACTGAGATAACAATGCCAACGGTCTATCCAGGAAAGCCCTCTGAGGCTCAATACAAAATTTTCACGAGGCTCCTGCATCAATATGTCAGGTTAATACCGTTTTTAAATGTCTTTGATTACCTGGAGAAATTTGAAACAATAATGCCAAAAATTTACTTTAAATACTCGAATATCAATTATTTACTGAAGAAAATATCTAAAAGTCTCAAGCCTCTATTTTAGTGGACATGCAGTTGAATATTTAGATAATTCCATGAATGAGTAAGATGAGAAGCCTCAGCATACAAGCAAATCCTGCGCATAATAATGGGTGATGCCCTGATTTCCGCACAGATAGATTCGATCCCCAGACACCCCATGAATTCAATCTATACGTGATGTAGCCCAATGCTGTATTTCCAGCTGCTGGGATGCTCAAAGCCCACAGCCTTACGCCTGCAAGAGCTGAAGGGCGAAGCCAGGCTCGAGTGCTCCTTGGCTTTACAGATTCAATGACATTGAATATTGTCTCAAAGCTTCAGAGGTAACAAACAAAGGTCAGCCCATTGCAGATGGCTTCACAAACCTTCATCTGTTGACCACATTCCAGGATTTTTGAATATTATCAAATCTACGTCGTCTACTACTAACCCTTAAATACGAATTTGCGTCATTGTGGAGAATGTAACAAAACAAATACGCAGACAATACATCTCCTTCCCATCTATGTCCATCCACATAAAAAAGTGTTTTTTTTTTCACTTCCTGTCCACCACTACCTTCTGGGAGTGCATTCTTTCCTTGTGAATGGGCAATTCACCAGTATTGGTTCAAGCAACCCTGACTGCTGATGAGACACTGCATGTTGAAAACGGCCCAGAGTTTGGCTTGTATTGATGCAATGCTGATGAAAAGAGCCACCACTCGCAGACATAGATGATGGGCCCAGTGGCTCTGGGGAGAGGGCACCGAGCCAAAAGCAGCACTCAGGTCCCAGGCTCAAGTCGAGGATTGAGCCGCCGACGATTCGACTCAATGTTCGAGCAAAGCGAGAGGTCACAACTCGGTCACCCACCGGTGACCCGCATGAAAAGCCACGGTAGTATATTCAATTTTACAGCTCTGAGAATGAAAAATATGATTTTGACTGCCATGCGAGATCATTTCTGCATAGCAGACTCTCCCGAGTGTGTGAGTGAAAACAGGACATTTCAAAGCATGGGGAGGCGTTCATCCAGCAGTGGGTTGTACATTATTGATACATATAACATTATAAGGACATCATTGTTTTATATTTAATGTCAATTCCAACCAGATTTTTGTAAAAAAAAAAGCACTAACATTTGCACCTTTGCTGCTTGAGTCCTGTGGCATATTTATAACAACTGCTATAAGATGAATTGCTGTTGATTTGAAACATTTCGTGACTGCAGGAACCCGTACTCTCTGGTTCTTTCGGTAAAGTCACGTAGATAGAAAAAATAATAAAATAAACACGACGTTTCGGTCGCAACACAAGCGTCCGTCATCAGCTGACGTCATCAGGTGACGGACGCTTGTGTTGTGACAGAAACGTGCTTCTTTGATTATTTTTTCTATCTACGGAGAGTATAAATTGCTGTTACGAGCCAGGGTGGGTAGAAAAACTCTGCCCTCTCCTCTGTTCAGACCAGAGGTCACGTTGATACGCAGAAGTAGTTCTGTGAAATCTCGTTCGCTAACATCGGGTGATGCAGCTGCTCTGTGAGAGATGAAAATGGACATTTCGTCTCCTGACATGATGCTGATAGCACGAATGCAAAACGATCACAAAGACTAAACACATTAAAGAACGGGTTGTCTCCTCTTACATCCCGAGACAATATTTTGTTATGTTTCGTTCAGCACAATGGCAGTAGTGCACTGCATCCGATGTTCCCATTTACGCATGCTCAACCGTAGATACACAGATCCTCCGATCGGCGGCTTTAACCTCGTCCCAGGACTGCGTGTATTGCCTTGGCAAATGCGCTGAACAAAGCATGCGGCAATAGAAACGTCCTTTCCAGTGCGGTGACTTGTCAAGCAAAATGCAACCCCTGAAGGCTTAGGATTTTTGAAGGAGCAAAAAACGAGGGTATTGTTCTTTTTTTTTTGTTTCTAAATGCAGAAAACAGCGCAGAGCATGGCAACATGTCATGGTGCAGTACTGCT